TAATGTAATTTTTTTAAATATTTAAATTGTTGAACAAGTATTTTCCTCTCTTTTTAAAAATTCATGTATAATATACTTTTTATTTAACATCAATTTAATTTCATCAATTAATGATTTAATTAATTACTGCGATATCCAAAGATAGCACCCATCGTCATCAGACCTCGAGTCAGCAGCAAAAGATTCCGGTCGAGAATCCAAAAAATGGCCTCGCACCACCACCTCCGACACCACCCCGCCGCCGCGAGCTATTGCTGCTGCTGCCCTCCATATTCCTCGTGCCACCACCATCCGCCTCCGCCTCCGCCGCCAGATCATCACCCATTTTACCACCAGCCGCCCCAACCCTCCTCCCAAATCCACCTCCCCGATTCGCATCAATACCACACCCGTTTTCGAGAGCGTTATCTCATGGAGGAGAGAGATACTCAAGCCACAATCGCCTCCCTCCTCCGCCGCATCGCCGCCCTTGAATCCGCCCTCCGCGGCCGCTCTTCCGCTGCCACCTCGCGCTCCCTCCGCGACGCCGCCGCCCGCACCATCCAGTCTCACTTCCGAGCCTTCCTCTTGCGCAGATCGAGGACCCTCCGGCAGCTCAAGGATCTCGCTTCAATCAAATCTGCGCTCGGCGTTCTCAAATCGTCAGTTACCAAGCAAATCCACTCCGATTACGACTTAATCTATCAACAGGCCATGGTTTTGGCTCTCGAACTTGATACTGTTCAGGTAATAGATAGAGTCTTGCTATGGATGCATTGTACATTGTTTATCTTGGTCCATTCTGTTTAGGCAGTTTAGGGAGATCTGATGCTTCTGTTTGTTTGTGCTCATAATTTGAAGGGTGGTGATCCAATGATTCGAGATGGGAAAAGTTTGGTGAAAAAGGACTTGATCAAGTTTATGGATTTTCTCGATGGATTTTACGTCCGGCGGGTGAGCTCTTCAAGTGGAGTAAACATGACATTGGAAAGGCGCAATTCGAACATTAGGGTTCCCAAAGGTGGAAGAAAAATGGTGAATGTGAAATCTGGGGATGTGAAAAGTGTTACCATGGAGAAATTGAGGGGGCTCGTTGAAAGAATTGATAAAATAGCAGAGGAGCTTGATGAGGACGAAGAAAGTAAGGTTGTTGAAAGCCCTGAAGTCTTTATGAAGAAGCATTGCGTTTCTGGCAGCAAGAACATGAATTTAGCTAAGCAGCTTTATGGGGTTCGACCCAAAGTGAAAAAAAGCGTGAGTTTTGCTGATGATGGGAAGTTCTACTGTGTGCTAGGGAGAAATTCGGAGCCCATTTTGAATGATGATGATGATGATGATGATGATGATGATAGGGTTAAGTTGGTTAGTAGAGATTTCGAGGATAATGATGTTTGTCGAGAAGTTGAAGAAGATGAAGTTTCTTTGAAGGAAGCTGATGATGAAGAAGATGAAGAGGAAGCTCGATTGGAAAATGACAACAATGCTGAAAAGACTACATATGAAGGTAACTTTGAGAGGAGGATTTGTGATAATCAAGGTGAAGAAGATGGTACGGCCTTTTCAGCTCCATTGCCTTTCACAATGGAAACAAGAAGCACCTTAATGGACAAGAGGAAAAAGATGGCTCATGATTTATAGTCACTTGCATTGTTGGGATGAAATTTGTGACGTGCGGGCAAATGTGGTTGCTTAAAGGCCGTAAAGGATGAGACTGATAGCAAAACTTCAAATTGTTGTAGGTTTTAACTGTTTGCATCCATTTTGAAGCTTGAGCTGTAGAATGGTGTTGTTTTATTTTATTTTATTTTTTCTGGCTCCTCTTCATTCTTGCCTTTCGCATTTCCCGTAGTGTTGAGCTTGTGTTGTATGTTATGAGCCTTTGTTGTCGATGAATTGCCGTGGATTTCACTGGCAAAGTGCTTTTACGTTTGCCTTTTGGATTTCTCTGTGTTGAGCTTGTGTTTTGATCTTATATTGTGTATGCTTCTTGATATGTTCAGAGTAATTTCTTATTAGCTTGCAATATATTTTAGATTTGTTTACGCTGCAGAATGGAAGCAGTCAAGCAGAAGACTATTTACAAGCTATGCTATGGGTAATATCAACGACATTCCAAACTGACCCAATGTTTACATTTTAAATTTTTGGAAAAAAAATAAAAATATCATATAGACGGGATTATTCAAATTTTGGCTAAATAGATTACTCAATTTCGTAAATATTTAGGCGGAAAACCAAAGGTATGGTTGTTGATCTTTAGTTACTATTTTAAATAAATATTTATGTCTCTTTATAGATAGATATAATATTTATTATTTCATGTAACATAGTTTTTAATAATTTTATTATCTTATCATATATGAAATTCATAATCTTCAAAAACACCACATATTAAAAAAATTTAAATATGAATAACGGCCTAATAGAAACACCAGACAATATTTAAATTTTACTAATTATTAAACTACACTTTATTATTATAATACGGAATAAACTCGGTACAGGGAAGAAAAAAATTGGGCGTCACTAAAATCAGCCACACCAGTTCATGAACGGAAAATGCCCGCCACTGTCCAGTACGCTCAAACACCTCTTCCCACCACCCGCCGGCGCCGCCGCGTCGCAATGCGAGTCCCTATTATACCGCTGCGCCACCACCAAAAAATCCCTCTCCACCACCTATAAACTCCACGCCCTTGCCACCACATCCGGCCTCCTTTCCAACCACTTTCTCTCTCTACTGGCCGCCGCATACGGCCTCTCCGGCCACTCCCCCTACGCCCACAAGCTGTTCGATGAATTGTCCGACCCCACGCTTGTCGCCTACAAATCCATGATCCGAATTCATGTCGAAAATGGGAAACCCCGGGACGCACTCCAGCTGTTTGTGGAAATGCACGAGTCGGGCAGGCACGTTCCGGACAAGTACACCTACCCGTTTGTCATCCGGGCCTGCGGGCAGCTCCTGATGCTCAAGCTAGGTGAGATGGTTCACGGATCGACTGTTAGAAGCGGGGTTTTGTTAGGCGGTTTTATGGGTAATTCTTTGCTCGCAATGTATATGAACTGTGGGTGTACAGATGAAGCTAAAAGGGTGTTTAGTGAAATGAAGGGTAAAACTGTAGTTTCTTGGAATACGATGATAAGCGGGTACTTTCGTAATAGCCGTGCTAAGGAGGCTTTGCTTGTTTTCAGAACTATGGTCGATAACAAGGTTGAGTTCGATTCTGCTACAATTCTGTCGGTTTTACCCGCTTGTGGGTACCTGAAGGATTTAGATATGGGAAATGAGGTTTATGAGTTGATCAGAGACAAAAGCATTGTGAAAAGATTGGCTGTTCAAAATGCTTTGATTGATATGTATGTGAAGGGTGGAAAAATTGACGATGCGCGTGTAGTGTTTGACGATATGTCCGAGAGAGATGTTGTGACCTGGACTACTTTACTCAATGGCTACGCTCTGAGTGGGGACACGAAACGTGCTGTCGAGCTCTGTCGGTCGATGCAATTCGATGGCATCAAACCAAACGAGGTGACTTTAGCTTCGCTTCTCGCTATGTGTGCCGACTCACGCGAGACGAAGCTTGGGAAGTGCTTGCACGGGTGGGCTGTTCGCCAGAACATTGACCGTGACGTGAACGTCGAGACTTCACTGATCGATTTCTATGCAAACTGCGATTCTTTCGAGCTCAGCTTTAGGGTGTTCTCGAGGATTTTTTCCAAGAAGAATACCGTCCCGTGGAATGCTATGCTTTCCGGTTCTGTCCACAATAAACGGGCCCGATTTGCAATAGGGCTTTTCAAGGAAATGCTTTCTCACGGCGTGGGGCCCGATGACGCGACTTGGAAGAGCCTACTTCCCGCGTACGCCATCGAATCCGATATCCATCAAGCGACGAACATGCACGGTCATCTCGTCAAAACGGGCTTTGCTAGAAAGCCTGAAATCGCCACCAATTTGATTGATATATACGCAAAATGCGGGTACTTACATTATGCTCATATCTTGTTCGATGGGCTTTCTATGAGAAATCGAGACGTCGTCTCTTGGAGCGTTATAATAGCCGGTTATGGGAAGATTGGGGATGGGAAAACCGCGCTTTCTCTCTTTAACCAAATGGTCTCGTCTAATGTTAGACCTAACGAGATCACGTTTACCTCCATCTTACACGCTTGCGCCCATGCGGGATTAGTGGACGAAGGATTACGTGTATTTAATTTCATGCGGATTAATAATCGAGAGAGTTTACGCACGGATCACTATACTTGCATGGTCGATCTACTCGGTCGAGCGAATAGGCTCGAAGAAGCTTATGAAATGATTATTAATAACATGCCTTTCGAGGCGAGGTCGAGCCATGCGGTTTGGGGGGCTTTGCTTGGCGCGTGTGCTATACACGATAGTGTCGAGTTGGGGGAAATTGCGGCAAAATGGTTGTTCGAGTTGGAGCCGGAGAATACGGGGAATTATGTGTTGATGGGGAATATTTATTCGGCCGTCGGGAGGTTCGACGATGCGGAGAGAGTGAGGAAGATGATGGATAATGTGGGATTAGTGAAAGCTCGGGCTAATAGCATGATTGAGGTGGGGAATGTGTGATGCGATTTTCTTTTGTTTTGTGTTCATTTGTTTTGTATATTATACACTTACTAATGGCTTTTTCTATACGTTGTTAGTCGGACATTGTTATATTTTTATTTTAAAATACGACAGAAAACAGTCTATTAATTTAACGGTTGAATTGTGTAAGATCGTGCTATCATGTTTGGTTCCTTCAAACAAAATAAATTCCCACCTAATTATAGTTCTCGAAACTTTTATCATGTGAGGCCATTAATAGCATTTATTGTAATTAACTCTTAATCACACTTTTGTAATTCCTGTAGCTGTATTAGTAAATTATAATTTCAACTCATAATACTGTTATCTTCAAAACTTAAATATTTAATTTCCTATAATTGTTTTCTAAATCTAAAACACATACAATACGTTTAATAATTATTAAGAGAATATTAAATATGGCACATTGTTTCAAGAAAATAAAAATATTAAATTTATGTTCGCAGATAATATATTGAAAAACAAACTTTATCCAAAACTAATATTATCCGAACTCCAATCCAAAATAAGTTAAATTCCACAAGTTTGACTGCCAAAAATTTAATCTGCATTTTAGCTCTATTTTTACTTTTTTTTGTCCATTAAATTCGGAAAGTCAAATCTGACTTTTTTTTACTATTTTAGCTCTAAAGAATATTACGGCCATTTATATTAGTATTGAACTGTATAAACTTGGTTTATATTAAAAATTAGAGTTCAACTACCAAAAAAAAAATAAAAAAAAAATTGATTACACAAATAAATGAGAGCATGAGCTCAACACGAAATATTTGTATAAAATGTAACAATACAGTCCTGTTACGGAACAATTCTGTTAGAATTTGTAACCGTTAGATCATCATATAACCGTCGGAATAGTTGATCTAACGGTTACAAACTCCGACGGAATAGTTCTGTAATAAGATCGTAGCATTTACTTATAACAATAATAAGATATAAATACGACAAACGAGTACAGTTTCATTTAATTCAATTATCCACTTCATTTTAATATATTTGATCCACTCCCATTTTTAATACTATATAAATTTTATCAATGATAAAAATTAATGAACATGAGCGTTACATATTTATGATTATTAATTAATACTTTATGACATTATAATTAATTATTATGGTTTATAAATAAAAATATAATAATTTTTGTTATTAGTTATTACCATAGCCTTTCTAATTTGGTTCTCAATCACACACACGCAGGTGAAAATTAAAAATGAATTGCACAGAATAAACCAAGCTTAGTTTCTCTCTCTTACCGTCACTCGACCGACTTCCGATCCAGAGAGAGAGAGAGAGAGAGATTCAATCACCAGCCATTGACGGCGAAATTGATTTCCTTCGAGCGAGACAGAGAATATGCCACACGCGTCATCGTGGCGATTCGATTGATGCATTTTTTATCAATCGCATTGATGCCGATTATTGATTGATTTTGCTGAAAACATTTTTATATTTGTTTGCATCGAGCAATCAATCGGAAAATATAGCTTTCCGACGGTTTTTTTGGTGGAGGAATTCTATGGTGGCGGTGCCGGCAGCTGGGGGGAGGATATCCGGATCGTTGAAGTAGCTGTGGCGGTGGATTTGATGGTGAGGATTGCGCAGTCATTTTGGAGGAATTGTTGGGACCTGGATTTGTCGGAGGTGATTACCGTTGATTGTATTGGCGGCGGCGGTTCCGGTGGTGATTTGTTGAATTGTGGGAGGGCAAAAGTGGGGAACAGGAGGTTAGCTGTGGGGACGGGTGGCGGCAGGGGAAGATGCAGCTGCACTTCTCACCTAGCATGAGAAGTATAACGATATCCTCGAGCAGCAGCAGTGGAGGAAATGTAAATGGAGTCGGAGATTTGATGAAGATCAAGGTCGCAGCACGCCACATTTCGTACCGCACGTTGTTCCACACCATCCTGATACTTGCTTTTTTGTTGCCGTTTGTGTTCATCCTGACTGCCCTCGTCACCCTTGAAGGTGTCAACAAGTGCTCCTCGATCGGTACTTTCTCGGATGCTGCTTTGCCCCTTGGATTTTGATGAGTTTTGATTGTTTTTTGGATTTTCGTGTTAGATATTGTTTGTTACTCCTCTGTTAAGCTGTATGGATTGATGTGAGATCTGAATTGTGATTCTGGTCATAGTGGGTCTGATACTGGGCTTTATTATAGATAAGTTCAAATTGTAGTGATTATGGGAAAGATAAATAGAGAAAAACTTAATCTGCGACATGAATCAAGGAACCAAGGCAGGGAAATTTAGTCTTGATATTGTTGTTAAGAAGTTTCTGAACATATTAGTAGTGATTATGACATGAACAAAGGAAAAGTTTCAGTAGCATTTTTTTTATCCTGATTTGCTGATCAAAAAGTTCATTAGTATCCCTTGTTTTATTACCTTTTATTCGTTGTTTACTTTTGTCGCTTTTATACACTTCCCTTTCTTCATCTAGATGTTTAGCTGTATAGTTTAGTTTCTATATCAGAAAGTTATTGGGTGGTCTGCTGAGACGTTTTTCAACTGTGATTTTATATTGTTATCAGATTGTTTAGGAAGACGCTTGGGGCCAAAGCTTCTCGGTAGAAGCGATGATTCTGGGGTAAAATATATTATGTTTACGTTGATGATTTTTTTTTATTGATTTTATTATTCAAGGCGTCGATCTAGATGCTCATCTATATCAATTATTCATTCTAATGACCATGACAAACCATTATTGTTTTTGTTTTATATGGCAGAGGCTGGTCAAGGACTTCATTAAGATCCTGAATCAAGTGAACTCTGAGAAAGTCCCTGATGGCCTGAAGCTCCCAGACTCTTTTAATCAGCTTGTTTCTGATATGAAAAACAATAAGTACAATTCGAAGGAGTTTGCTCTTATTTTGAAAGGAATGGTATGTTTTTCCCCAAACTCCCTTTACGTACATATATATTGTTTTTGTGCATGAATATCTTTCATTAGCCTGGTATAGCATTATTGTTTCTCTTTAGCGAGTGGATTGTGAGAAATTTCTCTTTCATTGGCCTTGTGTAGCACTATTGCTTAAAAAAAACTTCTAGTTAGTGCATGAGAAATATTTTCTTTCTTGTTCATTTCTCTTTTGATGTCTTAGTAGTCTCTAGTTGCTAGCAAGATCTATTAATCATCGTACTCTTGCTTGTGACTTTGAGTTTCCATGCATATGTTTCTTGCCAAAAAAAATTGAATAAATGAGACAGGAATAATTTCTTTTCCGGGTCCACCCAACGACAACCGTTTTTGGTATGGCATAAAACATGATGTTTAATATAATTATTATGCTTTCATAGTGGGACGATTACAATCTAAATACGACCTCTTACTTTTACACTTTCTGCTGTTGCCTAATTGAGCAACCGTCCAATTATTTTAAAAGGTGTGAATGTTGTTTCTCTTTCAAATATTAATCACTCTTAAACTACATAATCAATTTGTAATTTCTGTTTTATTTTTTTCTTTCTGCAACAGATGGAGAGATCGGAAAGGGAGATGAGAGAGTCCAAATTCTCTGAGCTAATGAATAAACACTTTGCAGCTAGTGCCATTCCTAAGGGCATTCACTGTCTCTCATTGAGGCTAACTGATGAATATTCTTCTAATGCCCAAGCACGCAAGCAGCTTCCTTCTCCAGAGTTGCTTCCTCTGCTTTCTGACAACTCCTATCATCACTTTGTGGTGTCAACAGACAACATTCTTGCGGCTTCAGTTGTTGTGACGTCTGCTGTTCTGTCATCCGTAGCCCCCGAAAAGATTGTTTTTCATGTTATAACTGATAAGAAAACTTACGCAGGCATGCATTCGTGGTTCGCCCTACATCCTGTGCCTCCTGCTATAGTCGAAGTGAAAGGTGTACATCAATTTGATTGGTTAACAAGAGAGAATGTCCCGGTCCTTGAAGCGGTGGAGAGTCACAATGGGATTAGGAATTATTACCATGGGAATCACATAGCTGGAGCCAATCTAAGCGATACAACCCCACGAACATTTGCCTCCAAGTTGCAGGCTAGGAGTCCAAAGTATATCTCATTGCTCAATCATCTTCGTATATATCTTCCAGAGGTAATCTCTTGAGCTGTCATCTTCCACGTTATATGTAAGTTTCTTCATATTAGATTTATTTTAGAATTGCATTATGCAATTTTCGAGGACTAATTTGTATTCTGCCATTGGGCAAACTGCATTTTTTCCTATTATCTATTTATTTGGAAAAATGATTTTTCAAGCCCAACTTCCTTGGACCAGTCAGTTTTTGAGGTTCTTGACTTAGACCCCTTTTTTTCCTCTTTTTTTTT